ATGCTTGAGATTCATGGCTGACTCCATAGGTACCAGGAGGTGTTCTGCTGCTCTTTGCAGATGAGCCTGGCAAAAACTGCTCCATGAAGCAGCATCTATAGGGAAGTGTGATTGAAGTGAACAGCAAGAAACAGGCAGGGTTTGCTGGGGGTGCTCTGAGGGTGGGGTAATAGGACCAGCTCAGTGCCTCGAGATAGCAAATGACTGGGTACAGCTCACTGCTCAGCAGCTCGCACGCATATGCCCCAGCCTCTGCCTGGCAAAGAGCTGATGGCCCACCCTCACATCAGCATGGTGCCCACAGGCAGGCCTGGCAATGCTGACACAGTCCTTGATCCCTCAGGGAAACAAGTAGGTGGTTCCGAATCCGGTCCCGGGATCATCTCTTCTGCCAGCACGTCTGCTGCTTGCTCCCTCCTTTTCAGAGCCTTAAAATAGAGGCCGAGGCTGGGAAGTCACAGGGTTTTTCTAGACTTTGTTGTGGAAGCAGTCCACACTTGTGCCCCCAGTGGGCTGTGCAGGCTGGGCCGTGACCCTGGGGACAAGAGAGAGAGGCACAAGAAGCTGGCACTGCAGTGCCTGTTCTGGGCAGGGAGCCCCGCTCACCAACTTGTTACTCTGCCACCATTCCAGGTCCCTGGTTGGGATACCGGCAGCTGGAGGCTCTGGGTTCAAAGGCCAGGCTGGTCAGGAAGAGTGAGGGAAGTGTGGGGGAAGCCAGCTGTCAGGTAGGAAAACAAGTTCGAGAGAGGGCTGAGGGAGCATGCTGCAGGGATGGTCAGAGGATGCTGGCCCCAGCACCACAACCAACACATCGGGCCTTTGTAGCCAGAAAAGGCATCGGTGTCACTCAGCGCTAAGGAGAGCAAGTCAGAAAACTGGCTGGCACCATGCAGGTGGTGACTGGGTCCCATCCCTGCTCAGAGGGCACGCAGCAGGCTGGATGGGCTGGGGAGGAAGCGGTGCCGGGGTTTGCGACGTGCATCCCTCCAGGATGAGCTCAGGGGAGTCCCCAGGCAAACCTGGCACCACCATTGCTGCTCCAGGAAGCCGGGCCCTTCGGGGGAGACAAAGTGCGTCCTAGCTGCTTTGTGGTCACCGAGGGTCCGTGACACCAGCAGTCTGGGCTGCTTCCTGGTCACCGGCCAGCTCTGCGCAGTTCCTCCACTCACGCGCTCCTCGCACTGCAGCTGGCTGCCGGGCTTGCTTTACTCATTGTCTGCCGCGGGTGATGCGAGCTATTCAGCGGCTGCCAGGTTTCAGGGAAAGAGAGAGATGAGCCACCCCTCCACCCACGCTCTGGGAAGGGCTTGGGGACGAAGCCCTGCCGATGCACACGTTCACTCCTGTTGGGGTGAGCTGAGTGCAGAGCCCGCGCACGCCATCCCCGCGTCCCATTGCTGCACTGGTGCTGTGAGCAGAGGTTGGGAGCCTGCTCTGCACAATAGCAAGCCTGCTGCTCCCCCTCTCCTTATGTGTTTGCCTTCCAGAACCAGACAGGGGCTTGCCGTCACTATTATTTTGCTTTGTGTCAATATTATGACAGCTAAAAGCAGGAGAACTGCATCCACATGATAAGCAGCCAGAAGCTCTGGGCTGGGCGTGGATCACATTCATTTGGCAGGAGAGGATGCCTGGCAGCCCCTGCCCGCAACTGGCTGTGATGGGAGGTGGTGGGCAGAGGCACGCAGCAAGGCAGCACGTGCGCCGCTCCTCCCTGTTAGACTCCCACCACCTTCATCCCAGGGCTGATGAAGCCTTCATGGTGTGTCGTGAGGGGAGATGTACACAGAAAGAGCTTTGTTCTCTAGTGGAAAGTCACCTCCAGCTCTCATTCAGACCCATTCTCCTGGGGGGTTGCACATGACAGGGGCTGCGTGGGGGCTCTCATCAGCTTGGCACAAGGGGCTGCTGCCTGGGCACAGCAACCACACACTTGGTCTGGAAGGCTCGGTTTGGGAAGCTGCTGAGACAGCGCTTACCTGTAGGCACCCACGTATACTTGATGCTGCGGTTCAGCTCCCTAACCTCACCCTGCTCCTGCAAACACCGTGTCCCAATGTGTCCCCGCCAGCCGACCAGCATGATGTGCTCTCCGTGACTTCCCACCAGCTGCCATGCGCTGCCCTGGTGCAGCCATGTCACGGCGGAGCTGGGAGACAGCCAGCTGGCTTAACCCTCCCTGCTGCTGGCATCACCTTGCCCACAGCTTCACCTCTGTGGGAATGGGGCTTGGCCTCAGTGCCAAACGAGGCTCACACTTGGTGTGAGATGCTGAGCTGAGCAGTGCCTGCCCCTGGCTCAGGGTCCTAGGACTCAGGTCTTGCTGTGTCAGATTGCTGCTCGCTGATGGCATCGCCCCTTAAATCTCCAGGGGGATATCAGTGGGGTGCGGCTGCACTGCTGGGATTGCCCTCATGGGTCTTGTGCCCCCTGTGCTCCGAAGCAGCTCTGGTTTCCCTGTAGCCAGCCTGGGGCACAGCGCCGCAGGCAGAGTGCATGCTGAGCCCTGCTGTTGTGCCAGCACAGGGCAGCCGTCAGGTGTCTGCAGCCTCATCAGCCCTACAGAGGCCATGGGTCCCCAGGGAGGCCAGGTCCATCCCGGGGAACCAAAATAAACAGCAGAGTTCCTGCCACGTGCAGCCGGGGCTGACTAAGGGCAGCCGCTTCCGCCTGCTTCGAGCAGCAACAACAGCCACAATGTTCGAGGTGCGCAGCACGGCCCATTTCCCCCTATTGTCAGCCTGCTGCTCAGCACACACATCCCCTGTGCACCTGGGCTGGGAGGAGAAACCACGGGGCTGCCCGCAGCCACACACAGGAGGCCAGACCTGGCCAAGCTCTGGGGAGTACTGTGGGGCCCAGGAGTCCACAGGCTTGTTCCCTCAGGAGAAACGCTGGCAATGCAGGGGTGCTCTGGGACGGGGCCCAAGGAGTGCAGTGTGTCACATCCCTGTGACGTGTGGCCATGGGGGTCCCGTTGTGGTGGGGTTCAGCACTGCTGGCTGAGGCTGCTCAGGCACAGCATCACACGGGGCTCCGGACTGACCCACGGTGGGCCAGAAATAGCTGCAGCACAAAAATACAGAGCTGAGGTTTCCAGGGTGTTTTCTGAGGGCTCAGTAGGTGACGCAGGAGGGCCAGGAGACAGTTGGCTTCACAGGGACATGAGGATGTTTGTTTGGGCTGTTCTCACCTGAGATGCCAAAGGTGAGATTTTACAGGGGCGAAGACTCCCATGGGGGATGTTGATCCCAGCACAGGACTATGGCAAAGAAGACTCAGTGCAGTGGGGTGAAGCTCTGCTAACAGAGCAGTGAGGTGGCACGGGTTTGCTTGACATATTGGAGACAAAGCTCTTAGCTTTGTGGCTGCCACATCTTTCCTGCCAGGAAACGTTTCCATGAGCCCCCAGCCAGTCACTGAGCCCTTTTCCTAAGGTCTGTGGATCTGGAGCCCCAGGGAGTTTGTGTGGCAGATATCAGGGTGCAGTTATAGCACTGTCCCCAAGCCCTGTCCCATGGCTGGGCCCCTGCTGGATGCTCCCTGCTTACAGGAGGATGTTGCTGGTCACAGGTTACCAGTGTCCAAATATTATTTTCCCAATCCTGTCTCTGCTTCATGCTACCCGGAAAGGGGATGCTCATCCCAGGAATGTAAACTCTGCCCGAGGCCTCTGAGGAAATAGCTTCAGGACAGGAACAGGATTGCCCTCACAGTGAAGGGCCAGTCCGTCCCCCCTTCCAGCCACATGGCCCCAGGGAGAGCCCTTTGCTCCAGCACCAGTGGGGCCTTGTGTCTGAGGGGTGGCCCCAGGAGACCTTCCCGCAAGGACGGGCTGGCAGCCCTGGAGGCCCCGCGTGGTGACGACCTCTGCAATAACAGCGCTCTGCCCTCCGGGTGGCTGTAACTCCTGCACATGGCTGGGGGAAGAACTCCCTTGGCTCCCACCCCAAAGCCATCCCCGGGCAGAGGGGTGCTCTGGGCCCAGAGGTGCCATAGGGCAGCGGAGGGCAGCACAGGCACCGCACGGGGATGGCACCTGCTCCCATAAGGGCATGGGAGCTCCAGCAGGCGCTGAGCACCTTGCGGTGGCCCTGAGCAGCTGCTGTGCTGCTGCGTGATGGACTGCAGTCCCTTGGCCTCTCTGTGAGCTTATCTCCACAGCACCTCCCTGCTAGGTACCAGCACCTTCCTCATGTGCTCAGTGGTAGCAGCACACAGGGGGGTCCAGCTGGAGCCTGATGCTTGCTGGCACCTGAGCCACCACGGCCTGTATGGCCCCGTGTCTCGGGGACAGAGGACGTGGGGCCGGTATGTGCCACAGCAGTGCAAGGACGGATCCCACACGGAGGAAGGCCGGGAGCCCCCGCAGCCCTGCTGCCTCCCAGGAAGCAAGGATACGAGGCCCGGCCTGGAAACAGAGCCCATCTTTACTCAAGCCCCGCAGCCCACGGGGATCGTGTTCCCGCTGGCATCTGCTCCCTCCCACCTCCGGCTGCCACAGCTTCCCTGGCTACCGGGGTTTAAAAATAGCACAGAAAAGGCCACGGAGCTCCTCCGGGTTTAACCTCGACGGCCCGGCCGCCCGCGGCCCACTGAGCGGAGCCGCTCCGCGGCCACCGGGCTGCTTTCCTCCGGCCCGGCACCCGCCACCCTGCGCACCCCCGTCCTCCGCGTGCCGGAGAACGTCGGTGCCGGGCAGAACCGGGGTTTAGGCCGGGATCGCTCCCGGGCTCCAGCAGCGGGGAGGGGGGCGGCCCCGCCGCTCCGGGGACGCGGTCGTTCCCGCGTCCCCCGGGGCCGGGCACCTGCTCCTCCCCGCGGCCGGAGCGGGCCGGGGCGGGGGCCGAGGCGGGCGGGGGCGGAGCGGGACAGCGGCGGTGAAATAGGGGCGGCTGAGCGGGACGCGCTCCCATGGCCCGGCGGCGACGGAGCGGGCTGGCATGTGGGGGGCGACGGGGCCGAGACGGTGGCACTGAGTCGGGGTCGGGGCGGCGATGCGGCTGCTCGGAGCCTTCCTGCGGCTGCTGCTGGCCGGGGCACTGGGAGCGCCGCCCGCCCCGGTGAGAACCGGGGGGATCGAGCGGGGAGGTCGGAGTGGGGCCGCCGCCTGGGACTGGAAGGCGGCGGTCCCGCCGTGCCGCTCCTACAATGCCCGCTTTTCCCTCCCTGCAGGCCACGGAGACGCGGGGGACAGCCAGCGCGGAGGCGCCCGGTGAGTCGGCGGAGGGCGTCGGTGCGGGACTGCGGGCGGTTTCCCGGCTCCGAGCTCGTCGTCTCGCAGCCTCGCGGCCCGCGGCGGCACCCCCGGTCGGTGCTGCGCCTCCGAGCGATGCTACGGGACGGCGCAACGCGGCTCCGCCCCGGGGGGAGCGGCGGGGAAGCGGGCGGTAGCTCGCCTGGACCCGGGGCTGTGCCCCTGCTCTCTGACGGCCGGCAGCGCGGCCGCCGGGGGTACGGAGCCGGCAGGCGGGTACAGAGCCCCGGGGCGACGGGTGGCTGCGCGAGGTCCGCAGCAGAGCAGTGGCAGTCTCTTTGGGGGCATCGGGGGATCCTCCGCATCCCGCCCTGCGATGGGGACAGCGCTGCAGGGCTCGGCTGGGGACCCTCTTCTCCGGGGCACCCCTTAGAGCCCCCCGGTCTCTTGCAGTCCTAACCTTCAAGGAGATCTGGAACCGTAGCTTCTGCCGGCCTCGGGAGCAGCTAGTGGATATCATTACCGAGTTCCCCAACGAGGTGGAGTACATCTTCAGGCCCTCCTGCGTCTCCTTGCAGCGCTGCGGGGGCTGCTGCGGTGATGAGGGGCTCCGCTGCGTCCCCGTGCAGACCGGCACGGTCACCGTGCAGGTGAGCACCGCCCCGTGGGGCCGGGGTTGGCGGTGGGTTCCTGGAAAGCTTTGCGCTCGCGGCCTCCCAGCCTCACGGCGCTGTAGGGGACCCGCACAAGTGCCCAGCCAGAGGGGTACCTACGTTCTCCGGGAGGTCGGGTGAGACCTCTGGTGGCACAGACCTCTCTCTCCTCTTCCTTGCCCTCTCCTCAGTGCGCGGTCCCTAACAAGAGCTGCTGCCACCAACTTTCTGCGTCCCCGTGGGGCCGGGGTTTCCCTGCGGCTCGCGATCCTGCCAGCGGGGATGGCAGGGAAGTTCCCGTGTGCCAGGGGACGCACACAGCGGTGCTGGCAGCAGACGTGGGATGGGCAGGGTGAGCACGAGGGGTCGTGGTTGTTTCATGGCAAGCAGGGCAGCTCTTGTCTTCGCTCTGCACTGCTGGTAGTCCGTGTGCTGCTGCCGTGCTGTGGGTGAGGGATTGGAAAGCCTGCAGAGATTGAAAGCACATCAGAAGTCAGGAAGGGAGCTACCAAAAAAAAAAAAAAAATTACAAATTTCAAAACTCTTGATTAGAGCAAAAATTTGAAACAAGTAAGAGGTGGGGACCTGTGCCCTTCCTGGGCTCCCCAACACAGGAGGCATTCAGCTGCAGTGCACAGGTCAGTGTGGGTCACAGCACTGTTGAACATTCCCAGAGAAGCCCCTGAGTGTGTGGGTTGCCCCCCTGGCTGCTCTGCAGGCTGACGTGCGGCAGGGCAAATCCCACACCCCCAGCACAGGAGGCACCATTGTCTGGACTGTGGCCCACTGTGGTGGGAGGAGTGGCAGCAGTGGGAATGGTCTGGAAAACTGGGTTGAGAGAAATGCCCTTCCGAGAAGGAAGATGTGCAAAGCAGTCAAATGTATGAAAGGTCTTTGTAAAGTCAGACCAAATATCTGTTCTAAAGCTGAGAAATCCCTACAGGAGACTTAATGCAGCCCCAAAGGCACAAGGAGGTGTTAGAGAGCTTCCAGAGCCACAGCCCAGCTGGAGCTGCTGCCTATGGAGGCAAAGGCCCTAGAACTGAGGAGTGGGCCTGCCCTGTTCCTGGACATGGTGCTGGGTGGTCATTGTCCTGCATTGAGTGGAGGTGGAGAAACGATGCCTCGACAGTGGGCTGGGAAGTAACCTTTGTTCCTTTCAGCTTGTGAAGATAAAGCCCAATGGGGAGGCACCCTACGTGGAGGCACCCTACGTGGAGATGTCGTTCACTGAGCACAAGCAGTGCGAATGCAGGTAGGGCTCACTGTGCTGCTGAAGCCCTGCAAGCCCACCTGCCACCCCTACATGGGGCAAGGGGACATGCTGGGGCCTTTCCCATCTCAGCTGTGCTGGGTTTTGCTGGAGCTCGTGGCCCACAGGCTGCACTGTGTCTCTGCAGCACATTCCCTGCAGCTCAGGGGTGTGGTGAGCTTTGATCAGGCACTGAGCAGTTGATGAGTTGGGCTGCGTGTGCCCCCATCTCCTCACTTGCCTTGGCACCATGTGCTGCTGTGGGCACAGGGTAAGGCAGCTCTGGAGCAGCGCACCCAAGCCTTGGAAGGATGCTCTGTGACTTGGCACAAATGAGTGTGACAAATGAGTGTAGGCCAAAAGGCCGGGCCTTGCATCTCCCTTTTGGACAGGCTGCCTGATCCGAGGATGGTGATTTAGGGTTTACATCTGAGCTTAAATGCATGGCACCAATCTGGCAAGACCATGCAGCACTGACCTGGGACAGATGCTCATCACCGCCTGCCAGCCTGGCACAAAGTTAACTGCAGTGGGTCACTGCCCTCTGGTATCAGCAGTGGAGTGTTGCAAAGAATGGGAAGCACGTCCTGCTGGGCAGCATGAGCCTTGTCCAGAAGAGCATAAGGATCCCGTGCCAAGTGTTCCCCCACAGCAGTGCAGGCAGTGATGTTGGAGCAGGCCCGGGGCTGTCCTGCTTCACGCTGGCTCTGGAGCTGTCTGTCAGTGGATGTGTAAGGAGCGGGAAGAGGCACGTGTGCGACTTCCCCCTGCTTCCAGCTGTGTTCTCCGTGAGGGAATTTCCTGAGCCTGTTGTGGTTTCCCTATGTGGGGTGATTCCTGGGGCAGCATTCACAAGTGCGCAGTCTGGCTTCAGGTCTGTCTTGCACCTGCACAGCCTTTTGTCTTCTCATCAAGCACCCTTCAGCACTTTTACATTTCTCCCCTTGTCAAGTTCAGTGTAAATGCAGCGGATGGAGCCTAGCCATGGCTCATATTGGGGATGCTTGAGCCACGGATGCTGTGGCTGGTGTCAGCCAGCCACTGCTGAAGCCCAGGGGTGTCACCGAGTCTGTTGTCCCCCTGTCTACTGTGGTCAGTGAGGGGCTGAAAAGTGAGCAGGAGTTATTGAGTATGTTTTAAGGATGCTAAGGTGCTTTGGCAGCCCCTTGGCAGCTCCAGCTGGCACTGCCCCATAACCACCCTGCTCTCCCAACAGGCCGCGGCAGGACCTGGCGAGGCCAGGCAGGTAAGTGGCATTGGGGCGCGCCGCTGCTGGGGCTGCGGGTTCAGTGCCCACATGTCAGCCTCTCTTTCCTGCTTTGCTTTTGAAGGAGGAGACTCAAGGGCCGAGGTAAGAGAAGACAAGACAAGAAGAGACGTAAAGACTGCGAGCTGTAAGTGAGCAGGGCAGGCATGGGTGGTTCGCTTCTTGACAAGGATCAGCTGCAGTCAGGTGTTAGGTCTGGTGCTGTGAGTAGAGCGGAACAAATGCAGGAAGGAGCAGGACAGAGGGGACAGCGTGGGGCTGGGAGATTGGACACACACCAATCCATGTACAGTAGGCCTCTGGCAGGGATGCTTGAAGCTGGCCGGTCCCACTTAGGGTGGGGATGGGTGGATGGAGCGGTGAATTTGTTGCATATGGCTATATTGCCTGCACAGTCCATGCTGAGTTCTTCATCCATGAATTTCCAGTTCTAGCCTCATTCTGCTGCCAGCCGTGTCCTTACTGCAGTCCTTGGCCAGCTGCTGTTTGGGTTACTCCTGTCCTTACCCTCGCTGTGTCCTGCTGACTCTTGCAAACAGCCTGCTGGGGCTGCAGAGCAGGCACTGCCTGGGGATGAGCCCGGTGCTGGCACTTTGCTTTTTATACTCCTCTCTGTCTGAAGTGTGCTGCTCAGTGCTCTGCCAGCACCTACAGCTCCATGCCCCTCTCCTTGCCATGGAGCTCCAGATCTCATGGCTCTTCCCTCAGTTTGGTGTTGAGGCTGGGCATGGGGAGGGCTGAGGGGCAGGAGGTGATTCTGGTACTGCAGAGCCCAGTGGTTCTCACACTGTGCTGTGCTTCCCTTGCAGATGTGGCACACCACGCAGGTAGCCTCCGCTCTGCCCCTGGCCTCGCTCCTGCCTCTGGAGCTTGAGCCTGTGGCACTTCTGCCCAGTGTGGGGACGTGTGGTGCTGAGCCCCTTGGAGTGACAGTGCTGGGGAGAAGGACTGAGGCAGGAAGGAGCCGACGAGATTCATGCTTGGCTTGGGTGGAAGCGTATCCTGGAGGCAAGCATTCTCTTGCCCCATCTGCACTGGTTGCAGCAGGACTAAAGGACCCAGAAGGGAGGATGAGGAGCCGGAGCTGCAAACTGGTGCTGGAGGGCATCTTGGGGCTGAGAGGAACAGAGCTGTGGGCATGCTGCTGGAGCTGGGTGCAGTGTGGAGTGGGAGTGAGCAGGGCTGGAACCACAGAACTATTGTGTCCTACAGGCAGAGGGGAGGGAGCACAGCTGGGATGGGTCCCCATCTGGGCAAGGTGCAGCCCAGAAGGGTGTCTGCAGGGGAGGGGAGCTTGGCAAGCCCTTCTGTAGGCACGGGGAGGAACTGGGGTGCTTCAGACCCTTCCTGTATCCACAGCCACATCCCAGCCGTGCCCTTCTGAATAAAAGCTGGGGGTGGACCCAAGAGCTGGGTGGGTGAGTGCTCCTCTCTTTTACAGCAGCTGGAGGGCCCTTCCAGCCAGTGCCCAGACTGGTGGTCCCAGCTATTGCAGCACTCATCCCATTCCTGGTGTGGTCCTGCACTGACTCCCTCTGTTTCTTTGAGGTCTGGTCCCATCTTGCTGTCCTACAGCTGTCCCTTGGCCCTGGTGGAGCTGATGCTGGAGGCAAACTGCCCAGGGGCTTTCCTATCCAAGAAATGTACTCCATTCATCTGGCACAGTGGCACCGTCTGTTACTGGGAACACACTGGTATGGGCAGGGGACTGTCATCCCCAGTCTGGGGAGCTACAGGCACTCATTTTCTGTTTGCCCCAGTAGTGGAGAAAGGGCTGGGGGCTCCTCCCTGGGGCCATGATGGCACTTCAGCCAGGGCCATGGACAGCCCATACCCTGGTTCCTGCTCACCTCAAGCGCTGCCCCTGGGACTCCTCCATTCCACCCCCAGTGTTGGATCTGGCTGCTGCATGCATTCTGTGCTCTTCTGTACCCTTCAGCAGCACACAGACCCTAAGGACAAAATGGGGAACTGATGGCACAGAAGTTCCTAGGTCCAGTCCTGCATTCAACCACCCTCTTTGTGAATGTGGAGCTGACTAGAGCTCGCTCAGCTTTGGCAGCCCCTGACAAGCCACAGCTGGGGGTGTATTTCTACAGACCTGAAGCGGCTGTGTGATGGCTCAGCTGCTGCCCTCAGCTGAGGAGAGATATGGCTTATCCTGTGCTGGGTAGTCAGAGAGGGCTGCAGCATGGATAGGAGATTTGGGGCAGCCTTCTCAGGTCTGATAGTGCTAGGTGGGGGTCCTGGTGCGGGCAGCTTGCTGCGCTGTGTGCCTGTTCAGCAGGTCCAGAGGTGCTGTGAGCAGCAGGAGCCACCGGCAGTGCTGAGGGATGGCCCTGATGGCCTTGCATCCTTTGTAACAGTAAAACTTTCACCATGGTAGTATTATGACCTTTGAGAATGAAACTATGTAAAAACAAGACTATTAATTTAAAAGCCTGTCAGGTATGATTATTGGGGTTAAAAACCCGGAGCCCCACAACAAGCGCAACAGCCTAATGTTTCCCTTGCCCTTCTGCTGGCCAGGTAAGACGGCTGGGCGCCCACCTCGCCTATCCCGGCCGTGCCTTATCCCTGCGGGTGAGGGGAGGCCGGGCCGTGCACGCTGCAGCCGGTAGGGCCCTGGGGAAGCAGCGGGACCCCACGGCGCTATCGGTGCCTCTGGCTCGTGGAGGCTACCGGTGCTGCGGAGCAAAGGTTTGTTTAAGGAGGCCTGCAGGGCCGGGCTGCGGCGGGAGGGTCAGCGGGGACGGAGTGTCGGCTGGGAGCGGGCTGCAGCGGGGCTACACGACCGCGTGCTGTGGGGCGTAGCCGTTGTGGCGACAGCGGATCCCGTCCCGGCGTGCCGGGAAGCTCCCCGCTTCCCCCGGAGCCGCGCACGATCCGACAGCGGCAGCCTCCGGAGGTCTGGGGCTTTCACCGGCTCCCAGGCAGCCGCTGAGGACCCTCGGACTCCAGCGCAGCGGAGCTCCGCGCGCACCCGCCCCACCGGTGCGACGGTGGGAGCCCCCCGCGCGTTCCCGCGCCGCGATGATCTCACCCGCGGCCAATGGGCGGGCGGGGCCGCCGCCGGGCGCGCTCCTGCCGAACGCGGATCCCGAGGCGGCCGCGCGCAGCCCCGGCGGGGCGGGGCGGGGCGGGGCGGGGCGGGGGTAGGAGTAGGAGGATGCCCGAGCCCCGCGCCGCGGCCCCGCGCCCCCGGGCCCCATGAGCCGGCCGGGCCGGGACTACCTGGTGGAGGCGGCGCGGCAGCTGCGGCTGGCGCTGGAGCGAGACGTCAGCGAGGACTACGAGGAGGCCTTCAACCACTACCAGAACGGCGTGGACGTGCTGCTGCGCGGCGTGCAGGGTGAGGGGCAAGGGCGCGGGCGCGGGGGGAGGGGGCGCGGTGCGGAGTCTGGAGGGTCCGGGCGGGGCCGCCGCCCTCTCACACCGCCCTCCGCCCTCAGTGGAACCCAACCGGGAGCGGCGCGAGGCCGTGAAGCGGAAGATCACGCAGTACCTGCGGCGCGCCGAGGAGATCTTCACCTGCCACCTGCAGCGGGCGCTGGGCGATGGCAGCCCCGGCGGCACGGTGAGCCCCAAGCGGGGGCCGCGCCCTCGTCCCCGTCCGGGTGACGCGTGGCGGTGGGTCCCTCACCCCGGTTCTTCCCGCCCGCAGGGGTACAGCAGCCTCCGCCTGCGGCCCGTCAGGACGCTGCGCTCGGCGGTGGACAACCTGCGGCGGTGCCGGGTGCTGGCGCTCATCGACAAGGTGAGGCCGGAGCGCGAGAGGGGTGCGGGGGGGCCCCGGCCCGCCCTGGTGGCTCTGGGTGCGAGCTGTCACCGCGTCTGAACGGTGCCGTACGCTTCCCGCAGGTGCAGGTAGTGCAGGACCCGGCAACCGGCAGGACCTTCGTCCTTAAGGTGGGTAACGGCTCCGGGCGTCCTCCGCCTCCGTCCCGTAGTGGCCCGGGGTCCTGCAGCACGTAGGGCCGAGTGGTCGGTGCTCCTCAGCTCCTTTGTCGTGCGGCTCAGCAAAGAGCGGCTCGAGGAGCCTTCTCTGGAGCCTTCCCGATCTGCAGTTGTCCGCTTGCCCCTCTCAGCCGCCTCCTGTGAGCAGGAGGGAGGAGGTCCTCTTCATCTGTTTGCTTCTCCACTGGGCCTTAGCCTTGCGACGGTGGCCCAGGCTTCGCCTCGCGTTCTGCCCTGAAAGCAGTGGTGGGTCACACGCACGGTGTGCCCAGCGCAGGTGGCGGGCACTTCCAGCACCCTTGGAACACAATAGTCCCCTATAAATAAAGGACTTTGGCACGCTGCCACAGCCCTCTTGGCTGGGTCCTGTCCTGACAGGGCCTGGGAAGCTCACACCTTCCACCTGTAACCCCCAGTGACCTGTGCTCTACCTCCTCAGAGCCTCCCCAAGTCCTTCGTGGAGACCCGCACTCGCCAGACCATCATCCCACATGGCGTCCCCTTTATGGTGAAGCTGCTGTGCTACTACGCAAGTGAGGACTCCATCTTCCTGCACCTGGAGCACGTGCAGGGTGAGTGCAGCGCTGCCTCCCGCTCCTTCCCCGGCCTTAGTGCATCAGCTGCGTCTCCGTGGGTTAGGTCTGCCTTATCTGCTGGCGCAGCCCTTCTCAGGAGGATGTATGGTTAGAGATGAAGAGGCTACGCAATGGGTTTGAGATCAGACCAAAGAGAGGGGATGGCAGATGGGGAGATGATGGGGTGCGTGGTGTGGTACCTGTCTTGCTTTGTGCCCCATCACTTCTTCTTTGCTTTCCAGGGGAGACACTGTGGTCCCACCTGCGTGCCAAGTACCGCTCTCAGCAGGGCTCTTGCCCCAGCTCTGGTTCCCTGTGTACTGCAGTCCCCCCAGCCCTGCAGGGCCATGGGGGAGAGAACAGCGAGGACAGCACCAAAGGGAGCAGCCAGGGCTCCTCCAACCAAGCTGCATTCACTCCCAGCCCCAGCCTCTGTGAGCAGGGTCTGGTCTTCCACACCCAGAACTCTGTGACCACTGGCGAGGCCAAGGGCTGCATGTTGGCAAGAACAGCTCAGCATGAGCCCAGGGCTCTCAGTGGCCAGACTGCCAGTCTGACCTGTGGTTGTGCTCCAGCCCCATCGGGACTCCGCAGGGCTCCGGCCGCCTGGGGGCACGGCCGCACGGCCTGGGCTGTGAAGGAGGAGCAGGTGCAGATGTGGGCAGCAGAAATCCTCTTGGCTTTAGAGGGGCTTCACCAACAGGGCGTGTTGTGCCGGGACCTCAATCCCAGGAACCTGCTGCTGGATACAGCTGGTAGGTGGAGGCTGGCCACTGGGCTGGAAGATGGCTGCTCACCCAATTGCCAGGAGTCTCAGGCTTCCTGAGCCTGTTGTGGTGGGAAGATGGGGAGGTTTGTCTGAGCCTGAAAGCATGATCTGAGACTTCCGAGAGGTTATTATGAGAGGTGTGTCTAGAGGGAACATGGCTGCAGGAATATGCTGCTTCCGCTCCTGTGTGGACCTGTCTGCCTGGGAGATCCTGGCACAGGGAAGTTGGGAGCAGCTGAGCAGTATTTGAGGTTGGTGGAACTGCCCTTTTACCCAGGTTGTACTTGTGACCCAGGGTTCCTTGAGCCTGCCATTTGCTTCAAGTCATGGGTACCTCCCTGGGCAGCTGGAAAAGTTTGAGGCAAACTGAAGAGCCACAAAATGCTTAGGAACAAAAATCAGAATTTTGCAAGGGGAAAGTCAGCCTTCCTCTTCTGCTGTGCTCCTCACTGCTGCCTGCTCCAAGGTCCATGGACTGGCCCCCATCTAAGCAGCCTGCTCTCAGCAGGGGATGCTCAGTGTCCCTGCACTCAGGGCACAGCAGAGGCCGTGTGTCCCAGCTGTCCCCAGTAAGGGCTTATTGCCAGCTGAATGGCTGGGCCTTGGCTTTGTGCTCTGCCAATTTTGTCTTAACCTCTTTGGTGCTGGCCTTCAGGTCACATCCGTCTCACCTTCTTTGGCCAGTGGACAGAGGTAGAGCCACAGTACTGCAGCCAAGCACTGGAGCAGCTGTACAGTGCCCCAGGTAAGGCTCACATCCTCTGCCCAGTGCTACTGATCGGGGGGAAGGCCAGCTGCACGCAGGCCTACCGTGTAACAGCCTCGGGGCTGCTGCCAGGCCCAGCTCCTCACTGCCAGCCCAAATCCCTCACTGGCTTCTTTCTGCAGAAGTGGGAGGCATCGCAGAGCCGACTGAAGCAGCGGACTGCTGGAGCTTTGGGTCACTGCTGTACGAGCTGCTGACTGGAGTGGTAAGAAGCAGTGGGGCTGTGCAGCACTGGGATGGGGCACACGGGACACAACAGTGCAAGGGGCTGCATTCCAGCACTGGCCCCATGCTGCAGTGTTCCAGGAGTGTGGTTCCTAGTGCCCTGTGAGCTAAGAGCCTTGGATTTTAACCTGCCACGCTGGGATGGGAGTGGGTGGTACTGAAGGCTCAGCAGGGTGTTACTGCTCTGATCAGTGCAGCTGCTCACTGTCACCCTCTGCCTCCTACAGCCACTGTTCCAAAGCCATCCAACAGGGATCTACCCTCACACACAGCTGCTTCTGCCCGAGGGTCTCAGCCTGGCAGCTACATCACTACTTACTCAGGTAAAAGCTGAAGAGCCAAGTCAAGCCTAGGCAGCTTTCCCAGTGCACCCATCTTCCCCAGCTAATCTCCTATGTTTCTCTGCAGCTCCTGCAGCACAACCCCAAACAGCGTTTGGGTGCAGGAGGAGGTGGAATCTCCAAGCTCAAGTCCCACTCTTTCTTCAGCACCATCTCTTGGAGCAAGCTGGTGGGCTAAGCAGGGGAGCTCGAGGGGCTGCGTCCTACCCAAAGCCTGTGAACCCACTTGGCTCTTCTGCCTGCAGTGGTGGGAGGCCTGCTTGTAAAGGGGGAGGGCACATACAAGGTTTTGTGGCCACGAATCTTCTGTTGCTGCCTACGCTTGCTAGCATCTTCAAGGGGAGGCTGAGGGTTCTTCCATTAGGACCCCCCTGCTTGGGATGGAGTCTATACCCTAAACCTCATATGTACCACCCTTTTCAGCCACTGAGGAGAGGCCATGGCCCACTGCTTAGCACACTGCCGTGGGGTTTCTTCCCTCTGGTTTTATTTCTGCTGCTACTGCAGTTGATGTCCCTGTTATTTTTTGTGGCTTCCAGTTGTGTCTCCCTGGGACTCTGCTGGCTGGTGCCCGAGCCTGTGCTCTGTGCCATTCACCAGCTGCATGTGTGTGGTAATGCCTGCTGCAGGTCAGGGGTGGGATGGAGCCCCTGGCTCTTCTACTCCCAGCTCTGTGAAAAGAATAAACCACATGTAACTGCTTGCAGAAGTGTCCTTCTGTTTCTGAGTCAGCACTCAACCCAAACTGTTCTATGATTTTATGATGACTGATGAGAATTAGCACAGCTTGACTTGTTGAGAATCACAGTACCTCTGGGCCGAAGGAGTATCCAGCATCGTCAGGAGCGTACTTCTGATCCTCCTCTCCCAGTAACCTCCCACTGCCCAAGCTTCCCCAGTACTAATGAGCTCCTGACAGCAGTGAAGCACTGCTGCGGCTGCTGGTTCCGACCCTGGCTGTCGCCAGCTGCAACACCCCGCTCCTCTCCCAGCCCCTCATCTTGGCGGCAGCAGCAGGGCTCGGCCACCAGAGGGAAGCAGAGTCCGGGAGAAGCTGAGCTCCTGCTGCAGCGACGCGGCTGCAGTGCTGCGATGCAGCGGGGCTCAGCAGCACCGACCCCACAGCTGGCACCTCTGCCCCAGCACCCTTGCCACGCAGCACCTTCGCAGTCACCCAGAAGGGTCACAGAAAACGAAGCTCCAAGCACAGCAGCTGCTCGAGCCTCCTACAGCAAGCGAGGCAGACTCAATCAACCAGGTTGCCCTGGATTGGTGTAAGAGCCTGCGGGGTTCAAAGGCTACACTCTAAACGGAATACAGCCTCATGTACACAGGTACGGATGCCCTGCTGTATTCTGAAGGTGCATGGGAAGCATTTTTAAAATCAGAACCTTCTCTTTCACTCCGTTTATTTTTGCAACAGCAGCTGACCACGCTGGTCTTCTCATAGCATAGGGTTTGGGTTTTTCCTCCCCCCTTCTCTCCTAACCTATCTGTCAGGCACAAAGGAAAGCTGATGCCACGCATCTATTTCTCCTTAGCTGCCAGGAAGCAGTAGAAACAAGTACTAGAAATTCTCTCATCAGCATTGCAGCTGTGCGTTCAATAGTTTTCTCTCAGAAGAGGTTGCCTTTACTCATAGCTGGTAAAGGCAAACCATTCTCTGAAGCTTATGTCAGAGATGGGAAACCCCTACCACAATCCAGGAATGGTTTCTTAATGTTCCAAGACAGACAGCTCCTTGGAGAAATGCCCTCAGTGCCCGTAACAAGAAACAACTTTCAGTTTACATTTCTTGCCTGCGCAACCATTAATACCCTTTTTCTCACTTCCACAATTTACAACCCCTGTTCTACCAGGGAAAACCAACCTGGTTCCAGAACCATACTGAGAGCTTGTCCCAGTTCTCGTTCTTGGCCATCACACCACTTAGAAAATGCTGGGATTCCTTTGCTGTTGATAGACAAAGAAATATGGAAAAAGATGCTTTCTCATATTTTCTGGTAAGAGACAGTTCTTTGCCAGAGGATTTGAGAACAGGAGAGTTCAGAGCCAGAGAAACTTCCATTTACTATCACCACGGAAAGACCCAGCTCCAGTTCCCTTCCTCTCACTCCCAGAGAACGGGCTGCTCATGCTGTGCTACAGGGGCTGCCAATGCCCAAGGCCTCTCTCAGGAACTACCTCCCCAAACACAGCCCACCTTGCAGTTGTTGACCAGTTTTATTTCATTTAAAATCCGCTGTGTTAAATATTTTAGTTACAAGTTCAGTGTAGAGGGTAAGAGTAATAGACTCTGCAGGCACTAGCAACCCCCTCACTCTCCATTACATGTGTGCGCTATCAGATTAAGGACTGTCCCCCCTCCCCCCAAAACCAGCAGCCTTGGGCTGGGATATACATTACACTTGCAGACCAGCCTTCCCTTCCCCCCCCCGCAGCTCTCTGCTGGTAGCAGGCCAAGCCCTCACACGCAGACCCATCCATCAGTACGCTGTGATTCAAGGACAGCTGCTGCGGGCTGTCTTAGCCTAGTGTTGGGCATGTCATGGTGAAAGGGTGGCCTCCCATCCCCAGGAACAGTGCTGCCTCCACAGGGATCATGGGCTCTGCCTACTTGGCCAGGAACATTCATGTCTCAGTGGCCAGGCTAGAGAGAGACAGATGATCTCCAAGGAAAAGCAGGGGAGATGCAACCACTGCATTCCAGTCCGTGGAGGGAGTGTAATTAGAGCACTGCCAGGGGCACAACACCTACCTCAGCACTGCTCTGATCAAAAATTCTGCTGAAATTGGCCTGGGGGAACCCAGGCTGCCCTTGCAAGGCAGATGAGTGTGATATATTTTCAAGCAAAACGGGGACAGAACAGTAGCCTTTCCTCTCCCTCCCCTCCCAGAACCTCAGTGCTAGGAAATAAAGCTGAACCCACTCTGGAGTGGCAGGAAAGGATACCCTAGCACAGCAGCAGCAAGCACTTTCCAGTGGTATTGGACAAGCTAGAGGTGAGAGTTTGGTGCCATGAGGGAGAGGATGCCACACAGATGGCTCCAAAAAGGCAGTGCCGTTCAGCGGTCGGCCCACTGCACAGCAATCCTAGTGAGAGGCTGAACCATCCGTTAAACAGAACAGGAAAGGAGGTAGGAGCTATCCTCCCAGTTCCCTCTGGGACATCTCTGATCTCAGGGGTGGGAGGGAGACTGGAATGACCCCAGCCAGTCCCTGAATGCCCTGCGTTGTGCCCCTGCTGGTGCTGCGTCTATGCCCTGGGTGGGTTGTGTGGGGGGTGTGACTGCTCTACAGGTCGAGTAGCAGCACGCGGGGATCCTCCACCGCTGCCTTGATCTTGCGCAGGAAAGTCACTGCCTCTCTGCCATCAATCAGCCGGTGATCGTAGGTCAGTGCCACGTACATCATGGGCCGGATCTCGATCTGAAGGGGAAGAACAAGACGGGTGTTAGCGAGCTCAGCCCTGCTGCCTGCAGGATACCCTCCTCTCAATCTAGGGAAGACCTGGCATTCTCCTGTCCTGAATCAGGGGCTCGGAACACCGCATGGCACAATTCACACCCGCTCATTCAACCCAGGCACCAGCACTAGCTTGGCCTGCACTGCACAACGCTTGGTCCCCTCTCTGGAGCTGCTCTCTATCACAGAGACTACAGCCCCTTCCTCCTTTCCACACCCTAGCAGTTATTCAGCTGCGTCCCTTTCAATTCGGGCAAGGCTCTCTGCACATCTCAGGCAAGTACCAGTGCCAGCAAAGTTGCCCTTTCATCTTTCAGTCTCTGCTCCTCCGTCACAGTGAAGCCTTTCAGAAAGTGACATCACCCTCCCTAGAAACAGCGTACCGGGCATGATCCTCATCCCACAGAGCACTCCTCTCTACTCACTGAAATCTCCTGTGCAGCTCCACTTACCTTGCCTCCCACAGCCACAGGCCTGTCAAAGATGGCATGCATGCCTAAGATAGCAGACTGCGGTGGGTTGATGATAGGTGTCCCAAAGAGTGACCCGAAAACCCCTCCATTGCTGATTGTGAAAGTGCCGCCATCCATGTCTTCGATAGCCAGTTCGTTCTTCCGTGCCTAGAGGAAAGGTAAGGCCTCAGAAAGCCACTCAGACCACAAATGACAAAGGACAAGGGTTTGAATGTTCAGCCTCTCAACAAATGCTGATAGCCAGAGCTTCACTTATTTGTTCAACTGAAAACCAGCATCAATTACTTGAAAACACATTCTGTTTTAAGACTCAAATATTTGCTGTCTTTGCAGAAGATTTTTTTTGCCTTTGATTCCAAATCCTGCTTGTGCAGGAAACAGATAAGAGGGACTTATCCCAGGGCAGTTCAGCCTTGGCCTCCAGAAGGAATGGTGAAGACACAGCATATCACTAATACATAGTGGGAAGTCTTCTGGAAGGGCAGCAAGTAGATAGGTCTGTCCTGTAAGCCATGGGCACAGCTACAGCTGTAACTGGACCGTTCCCTACAACATAACTCCATGTGTCAGAGGTCAGAGACGATGCCACAAGGGGATCAAATCAATTCATGCCTATCCAGCACCCTCCCAATCTTTTCCAAGAGCACCTCCAGCTTTTCTTACCTTTTCCCCCAACTCATAGATAGCTCGCTCTATGTCAGCAAAGTTCATATTTTCTACATTCCTAACGACAGGGACCACAAGACCCTAGGAAGAAGCAAAGTGCACAATCAGCAAATTAATGGCAGTGACAAGTAGATAACCACTATTGGGCAGGAGCCTGGCCCAACCCAGCACCATTCCTGCCTCCTGCTCAGCCCACAGCAGGTGGTTGGCACAGCTGCCTCACGTTCTGTCAGCCTGCCAGAAAACCTGGCGTGGCACCCACAAAGGCCCTGTACAGTGAATGAAACGTTGTCTTTGCCTATAAACCCGTCATATAAATTCAGCCAGGACTGTCCGTATCCCCAGGCCACATCCACCACAGTGAGTGAGGCACTGGGCAGCTGTCATCTCTTTCTCTGTGAGAAGAACAGAGTCCCTACATGTGGGAGCTCCCCTAGACTTTGAGAGCAACGACAGAACTTCAGTCCTGGCCAGACCTCTGTCTTACAATGGAAAGAACTAATTCAGCATGAGTTCCATCCCATACTCTCCCTTCTGCAGGAACACCTGTTTTGAGCAGGAATATGATTTACAAAAATGGTGGGACAAAACAGCAGAGTTAGTCAGAACATACAAAGCTTTTAGTGTCCATACCATATTCTCACAAGTGCAAGAAAAACAGGTTTCTCTAACTTAGCCCTACTCGACCACCACCAAGATCTTTATTGACCCTGTTACTACACATTTAAGCACAGTGGCAAAATGTTCTTTGTCCTCCACCTTCTCCCACAACCCACCTCAGCAGTCCACAATACATCAGATGTCTCATCTAGATAAGCAGTCCCATCAGTAAGATTCTGCTGCAAGCTGTGTTGGCTCAAAGCATATGAGCATCCCAGACCCAAGGCTACAGGAACCATGCGCAGAGCACCTAAGGTACTTACCCGGGGAGTTGCTACAGCTACACTGATGTCCACATAGTCCCTGTACACAATCTCTTTGGTCGTGTCATCAATTACTAGAAGAAAAAAAAAAAAAAAAGAAAAGAAAAAGGCACGTTACACATGCAGTACCCAAAGATCAAAAGTTGAACAGGCCAGAAATAGCCACAAATTATAACAACTTGCTCAACTATAGAAAGTGTGTCCTCACTGCTTCTATGGGAGAAGTATCAGGACATACAGAAAGGAATCATAGCACATAGAGGTCAGTGCCAGTCAAACATTGCCTTGATTATTCTCCTCCTCTGGGTTTGAGCAAACACTTCTGACACTCACCAGGAACTGCACTGCACCTACAGCAACTACACCAAGCAGCAGGCTCAGCTTTCTTTGGGCTAAGACATCTAGCCACCAGCCCCAGCCACCCTTGCTAATAGGACGTTTGGCAACACGTACTTTACCTAAGTAAGTGGCATTAGCAACATCAGCAACAGCCTGAAGGACTTTGTCCTCTCTTCACCTTGTATTTGACTTGCTTATCCATGCCAACAGCCCTGCCTTGGACTGGGCCACCTGCTTTTGCCCACTCTGGCACATTCACTGGTAAGATATGCGACTCACAGTGAGGATCACCACTCACCTGCATTCACAACAGGCTGGTCCTGCAGAGCGAAAGCTGAAGCTTTCACAAAAGCTGACATGAAACCTAATTTCAGGTTGTGCTTTTTCAGGAAAGGATCCCTGTGTACAGCTCTCATCTCCCGGATGTTGCTGCAAAACATGTTACAACAGTGGTCAGCAGGGAGTCCAGGAAAATGCCATTTCCTCACTCTGTAACAGATCTCAGTGCCATCCCAAGGACTGCAAACTTGCACTACCAATTGGCAAACTTCCAGCGTCCTGAAAAATCCTTTAAGAGGTGTAGATGAAATGGGCTGATGGCTGCTCCAAAGCCCCTGCCAAAAGATCTAACAGGAACTGCTTCTGGACCCTAACCTCAACAGGATAGGTTTACAAGGCTTGTGCTGCCAGGCACAAAAGCAAGATGTGGCATGGCATATTTCCTGCTTAGACCTGATAAAGCTGCAAATACTTCTGCTGAAACTCTGGAGCCACCACTGCAGTGCGGCACTGCAGAAAGCAAATCCAGATGCATCTGGGCTGACCCTGGAAGAATGAAAAACACAGGAAAAAAATGCCAAAAGAAGAAAAGATGCAGGTAATGATAGAGGTAGAAGACTTCAACCATTGCACAAGCCCAGCACTAGCCAGTGCAATGACATCTCTAAAGCCCCACTCTTTGACTTTGGGAACTAAATGAATATGAAAGAATTGTTCCCAGATGCTATGAAGCCAAGTGCCAGCTCTGCCACAGTCTTCAAGCAGGTAACTCCTGTTCCCTCCCTGCTTATGATTATCAGAGATGAGAATGTTCACAAAAAAGAAATGAGCTCTGCCTATTCTAGGATAATATAGATGCTGTGGAATTGCTTGATTCATCTCTCCTGATTCCAGAGACCTTAAGTCTTTGAAGAGACGGTGTCAGCAAGGAGCAGGGGTCTCTGTGGTTTAGAGTGTTTGTTTTCCTGCACCTAACCTTGTTTAGGGCTAGGATTACTGCCCAAAGACATTAGTGCCTCCCAAGACACAAGGACTGCAGCAATGAGGACAAGGTTTGCTATGAAAGTGACTCATTACGGCTTACTCCTTTCAGATGCTGACCCCCAACGGGAAGCAGGAGGCCCAAGCTCAGACCCTCTTGAGTCGTCAGCACAGCAATCAATCCAAACCAGATTACCAGATGCAATGAGAGCCCGAGGCCAGCGTAAAGCGACACCTCAATGAACCTCAGAGAGGAGATAACTCTGAAGCACTTCCCCTCCAATCAAGACTATTTTGCCAACCTTATTGTTTTGAGACCCAAATATTTACATGTTTTGTCTCAAGGAGTGGAATAGGATTTCAAAAGGCAATTTGATTTGGGCACAATTTCCCCCTAATGCACTGTAACATAAGCTGCCCACCTTCCAAAGCCATTAGAGTGCTCAGTCCATGCAAGCACTTGAGTAAGAAGACCCCCACCTGCCAAGAGGGGAGGGAGAAGGACCTCGGTCTGTTCAGGAAAGCTGAACCATCTGACAACAAGGGCTGCAGACGTGTGCAATGCTCATGTGAGAAGCTCTGGGGAACTACCTCACGGGTGGCCAAATATGCCCACCTGCAAAAGCAGTAACCTGGCAAGTGCTTTTGGTGTCTCCTAATAGCCACTGTCCAGCTGATAGCATTCACTCATGCTCATCTGTTCAACATCTACTAGTCCTCCACTATGAACCGCATAGATGAGGAACTGGGCTGCCCCTTAACAAGCAATAGATGATTCCAGAGGAATGAAAGTCCAGCAGGAAACTATGCACCCTTCCTGCTGCAACACCAGCATAGCTCAGATGAAAACGCACAGGTCGGGGAAAAGTCTAAGGAAGAGGTGCCAGAAGACGCTGTTAGCCTTTCCAAATGCAATCAGCATGGTCTCAGCTGCTATTTAAAGATGACTGCCCTCATGTATTTCTACTAGCAAAGGTTAAAAACAACAGGTCTGCTCCTCACCTCATATCGATCTCATTGAAAGTGGTCAGCATGGCACAAGTGTTCTGAGCCTCCTTCAGCCGCTGGGCGATACGCTGACGCATCCTATTCATTTTCACCTGAAAATTAAAAAGAAATAAGCAGAAGCTGCCTCAAGTTCACACAAGAGGCAAAACACACAAGAAACAAAAAAGGCCCTTCTTGCTATCTGGTTGACCAGTAAAACGTCCAAGGTTTTCACCTCAGGTCTCCTCAAAGAAGGAGCACAGCAAGCTGAGAAATCGGTCGCCCAGCTTGACTAAAAGTTCATTTGAACTGCAGAATTGAAATGCATCACAGTAGAACTGCTCTGACCTGCCCGTTTCTCAGAAATGCCAAGTACAGTCAAATTTCCAGCATAAGGCTAGCATAAGAGCAGCAAAACAGCTGAGAAAGCAGACTGCTCCATCAAGTTTTCTTAAGAAGGTATGAGATAGCTGTAGCGCCCTCAGCCCTTTGCTGAGGGCTTGTGCACAGACCAGGCAGATCACGTGGAGCTGTCTGTGCTCAGTCAGCAGAGCTGAGGACAAGATTTTTGCCTAGAAAAGACCAACAGGAGATCAGACCTGGCTCTCTTCATGCCACCTCCAAATGGTCATCTCATCTAAAGCATTTCCCAATCTGTCACAACCCTGACAAGTTGAACGTGAACAGATATATTCAGATTCATTCAGCAAGTTCACACGTTATGCCAAAACAAGTCATCACCCAGCAAGAGAAGAACCAGCAAGGCCCCTATTCCCACAGCTTACCCTATGCTCAGATCTGGCACCTTTGCTGGGCACTGCCTCCCCAGGAGGGGCTGCCACTGGAGCTGCAGCCGGCTTCACTGCAGACACTGAGGAGTAAAGAAGACATCAGTCAAAAAGGAAAACCAGGGGCTGAGGGCAATGCCTGAGAGACAGAAGGCCTGTTCCAGTCACTTGCTTAGGGTGCCTAAGCAGCCTTACATTGGCTGGGCAGCCTCAGGGACAGCTGAGTTCTGCAGACAGGCCTCCACTATACAGCCAGTTTGTTGGCTTTAACTTTACCAACACTCCCCATGGAAAAGAGGCTTTAAAATAAGAGGAAGTGGCTCTTGCCTCACCTGGTTTGCTGTCAATGGGCTGAGCTGACACAGGTGGCACTGGTGGCATTGTAGTTGGAATTGGTGCTGCAGCAGGAGGAGGAGGAGCTGCAGCTACAGGTTCAGGTGTTGCAGGAGGAGGAGGAGGGGCTGCTGCTGGTTTGGCCTTGGCAGGAGCAGCTAAAAGAAAAGGAAGAACAATTATTATAAGAGCAACCACAGCTTCTACTGCCAGGGACCTCTGGGCCGAACCAACCTGACAGAAGTCAATCATCTAGCACTTTGCCTTTATACACTCTACACTAATAAACTGATAGGAGCCACCCCATGTAGATCCCATGGTGTTTCATCTCATCAACACCCTAGATCTCCTCACTGTGCAGAAGACTGGATACTAAAGAGGGTGAAGAACGGAGGTATGTGAGGGGAATTCTCAGATAATTTTAGCTTAGTACTGCAGTCTCCTCCAGAATAAGGAAAAGCCAAGTTTCTCTCTCAGAAAGACTGCAATTATGTTTGTCTGTTTTGTTTTTTTTTTTTTTTTTCAACAAAACAATGTTTTAAAAAAAAAAAAAACCCAAAAAAACAAACAAACAAAAAAAACAAAAACACCCAAAAAACTGGTTGAAATAGGAAGGTAAGTGCAAGTTAAACCCCAAACTTACCTCCAGTTTTCCTGAGTTTGAACAGAGGTGTCCCCCCTTCCACTTTGCCACCATCAGGTACCAAAAGGGCTTCAATCACACCAGCTGCTGGGGCTGGAACTTGCAATGATGTCTGTAAAAAGGAAAGTCTTTAAATTCTCCCAAATACTGGATGAGGAATGAGTGCCCAAGCAAAGATGCCAATAGGCACATGCATTGTAGTCTGGCACAGAGAGCAGCTCTGTCCTGCACCATTTCCACCAGTTTGCATGCCCTCCAGCAGGGTTTTGTGCCAACACTTAGAAGTGTGGAAGATGCTGATAGTAGATCATATAGTCTGATCTTCCTGCTTCAAGGTACAATGCAGAACTGACCTACTGCCAGCATCTTTTTGACAACAACACTGGAAAAAGAACTTGGCAGGGAGTTTCAGCGCAAGCTTCAAAGCCTAAGAGTATTTTAAGGGGTAAACTTAATGGTTAAATTTAAAATAGCCTGAAGATACCAAATTGCTCTGCAGATTTCTCCTGTTCATACACAGACAGGTTTCCAAGGTGACAGCACCCTAACAGGAGGGAGTGAAATTACAGATCCTACAAACATCAGCTCCTCTGATTCTTAATCAAGTGTATGAGGAAGGAAGGAATTATCAAGCAATCCTCACTTCAGGTACAGCCTGCTTTCATAGTAAATGGAGAAAAGTCTGTCCCTGTGAAGGGAGCAAGAGAGACAGGCAGGATGTGCAGGCTCAGCTGGAGAGGAGCCACACAAGGTACTCACTAGAGAACCAGAAAACGTTTTGGTCCAGAGAACTCCTACCTTGTCTGTTTCAATCTCACACACCACTTCATCTTCCGCCACTGTGTCTCCAACAGCTGAATGATAGATATGAAGACCACTGTGAGGAAGGAGGTGTGCTCCAGCCTCCCCTCTTAACCCACAGCAGTTTCCCACTAACCCAGAATTTTTTTCACCCCAGTTTTCCACGTGTTCTAAAGAAAAGTGTAACTCAAACTATCTACCGCATAGAGTCCAATTCCAGTCTAAACATCTCTCTTCATCCAACATTACTCAGGACAGAGGAACTGAAGCAGTAATTGCAATCCTTACTCTGCAGGAGAACTGTAATTAACCTTAACTGCCTTCTTTGTCACAGACTGAAGAATATAAAATGGTCAGCCAGTTAACTACAGTTCATCCCTGAGCTGTCCAGTGCAGAAGAAATGGTACTGAGACTCGCAGGGAAGAGGCAACTATTTACCTTTCTCCCACCTGACATCTCCTTCTGTGACTGACTCTGCAAAAGCTGGGGTGTTCACCGTAACCACGTCATCCCCTGTGACAGAGACAGACAGATAGACTTGAACACATTCAGAGCTCAAAACTTTTGGCACCTCTTCATTCTTGTCACCAGGACTCCAGTAGAGTGAGTGCACAAACACTCAAGCCAGCTGACCTTCTCCTTGCTTCAGTAACGATTAAGATTCGAACATGAGAGAAAATCTCACCTGACTGTAAGTTGTAAGTCACAATGTGACAGAAAAAGCAGACAAAATCTTTAGGGCTCCGTGCCCAACCAAGTGTGACAGCAATGAATTTAGACCAAGGGTGGAAAAGGCAGCTTCAGCTGTTGTTAGAACAGCAACAGGTAACATGAGAGTCACCCCACTGACTCCTGCCTCTTTACTTACTATGTACTGCTGTGGTTCTGAAGTAACGGACAGTGAAGACACTGGAGCTATTTACTCTGCAGAGAGAAAGAACACAAGATATGAACACAGAATAAGCAGCAAGTTCCCGTGGAAGCTGCCAGCACCAGTCTCAAGCTCAAAATTTACATTTGCTTGTTTAACTAATCTGAAGGCTGCTCAGCTGTTCAAATGTATTGGTTCAAAAGAACTTCCACTTACCTGATCAAGGGGCAAAAATCCAACTAAGAAGCATGGAAACAATTCAGTAGTGCTCTCAGAAAATCAGCATGAAGTGACATCTACAGAATTTTAATTTACAGAGACATCCCAACATATCTGCTGTGTTTTAAATACTGGTAAAAGGTTGACCTACTCAGCCTACTGCACACCTAGGATGTGATCACAGGAACCATTTTTTACCTCTAAAAAAAGTCTGAAGAAGAGAAAGCACCATAAAATGGCAACAGCAAAGCATTCAAGAGACAACTGCTTCCCTCCACCATTCCTCTTCACAGGGAGCTGGCACAGATGTTTTTTATACCTGTGGATACTGTATTTGGAAACTTGAAGCAAATGTGCTTTAGCATTTCCGCTAACACAGGCTGCTTGGTGCAAGCAGACCAGTGTATCAAGCTCTTGGATGCACTCTTATGGTTAAAAAAAAAAAAAAAAGTATTTGTGGAAATGATGAGACCATCTCAGCAATGCAGACCTTGTCATATGAACAAGAGCTCCCCGAGCCATCCCACTCCTCCTGCAGGAGACCACCTCTTCATGTGTCCAACAGAAATCCTACTGGGAGGCTACCACAGAGCATTCACAATCATAAGAACAATGGGAAGAAATTGATTAACCACTGCTCTCTTCATTCCTGCCCATCCTGCCTTGACATCTGGTTCCAGACAGACCTTATTTTATTGAAACATACAAAGTTCCTGACCTGCAAAAGCCAGAGAACCCAATTTTTTTTCCCCCTCCATGCTCCTCGTAAATGCACAAAGATTTTCTGACAGCTGACTTTATTCTGCCTTCCAGCTTCCAAATGCTATCATGGTTAGATCCCCTGCATATCACAGCTCTCCTATGGATACTTACATGAGCTTCCTGCTGTCAATGTAGGCCAGTCCCTGGCTGCCAGCCACACCTGTGAATGAGAAAGGTATTACCCACAGGAACATCACCCAGTCCTCAGGACTGCTAAAACCTCAGCTGCTGGTGAGCTATCCCCACCAACACAAAGGGATTCCTAGCAGGAGAAAGTGGCAATCCCCTAAGAGGTGCTCTCTAGAACTCTCACAATTGCATGGAACAGTAAGGAGGAAAAATGCCTTGAAAATGGGGCACAGGGCAGAGCAGTGAGTCACTGCCACCCCTCTTCTCTCTTCACCCACTGACCCAAGAACAAGTCTGCTTCATAATTCAAAATGGGGAAGATACTTGCACAGCTTCTCAGGGTTTTCTAGGCATCAGTGACCCCTTGCCACACTGCTCACACGCCCTGACACAGCAATTCTTATTACTTACTGAACTCCTGTCCTTTGCCTCTTTCAGGGCACTGGACCTATTTCCAGACTGATCTTAAAGAGAATCAGTATAGCAATTATAGAATGTAATTATCTCAATTACACAACACCAAAAAGAAGCAGCATTTCTCCACTTGATCTTTAAGAAAGTTAATACAATATTGATACCATCCCCTACTGAAAGCTAATAACACTGGAATTCTATAGCCAGGAAAGATAAGCAGATTTAACACATTTCTCAAAGCAGACTCAAAGGGAAGTGATGTAATCCCATACAAAGGTAGCACAGCTCTGAGAAAATGCAGTTTAAACACCAGACGACTTTGTGGTCATATTCACTCTGACATTTCAGTTAACATTCACCCAAATTTTCAAAGCAGTTTATCAGAGAGCTGGTCTCTGCAACAGCAAGTGTTGTAAGCATTACAATGCTTGAAATACAGCACTGCTGCTGAGAAATCTCTACCTTGGGTGGATGCACTGGGTGGCATTTACACTAGGCAAGAGAGGCACTCATATGGGCACACGTTTCTTCATTGTATGATTGATAGAAATAACTCTTAATAAATCCAATTATCAATAGATAAGCACCTCTGCCTAGATTAACTTGAAGTTAAATACAAAACATAAGACTTACCAGACAGGGAGCGCCTTGCCAGAGTACAGTTGCCCTGTCAGAGAGAAGAATGTCAGTACTGCAAAGAGGCAGCCCCAACCTAGAGGAGCTTTGGTTTTCCTAAGACACCTGGACCAGAAGGGCTCCACCAGTCCCACAGTCACAGAACCTAGCACTTAGCACCTTTTTCTTGGTTGTTCAAGACTATAGGGTCTTTGAACTCCAAAAGGTCAGAATTTTCCTCGACAGCCTAACTCCTTCTGCCTACAGTGAGCTGGGGACTCCACCTCCTTATGACCTTTTCCTTCATACCCAGTAATCATTGACCCACCTTTCACTGGCACCAAACCTGCAGATCTGGAGAACCAAAACATTCTTCACAATCTATAGGAAAATACCACTATACTCACAACTGAAATGTGATTGACGATGGTTTAAACAGCTCAAAGCATCCTAATCCAGCAGCAAATACAGAAGGTAAAAATCAGATGTCATTCAGAATGTCTGTTTCAGGATGGAGGTTTATGTAGAAACCCCAACTTCAGTATCACCAGAGCAAGAAAAATGGGATACAGTTGAATACCAAAATAACTTCTGTAGATGTGCGTCACAGACAGCAGAAACATCAGGGACCAAAGAGATATTTAATCCTGTGTCTTATCAGCTACAGGACTGGGTGGTATAACATGCTAAAATACATTCAACAAACACCTCCCATCATCAAAACTATTTAACGGTTCTGAAATTGGCCCCCTGGCAGATCAATTATCCAAACTCAAGGACGGGTTTGGCTTCCCAGATATTAATGTGCAGTCAATTCAATTGTCTATGGGCAGCTCAACATGGCTGCAAATCAGCCGTGCTGAGGATGCACAGCCTGGCTGCTGTGCCAGCTAGGATCTGGCAGAGCCCATCAGCTGCAGCATCACTCCATGCAGCAGCCCACCTTGGGCCCAACATCCTAGACACGAGATTCTGCAAAACCAGCGGGGCATGTGGAGAAGGAAGAGAGAGGTGTTGCACCATCCTGAGTGCTACACAGCTTAGCCTCAGCCCAGTACTGCTAGCATTGATCCAGTTCATGCAGAGACAGTTCTAAGCCAGGATCACTAAGACAAACCTCCTGCTAACTCCATCTGGTTGTGTGCCTAAAGCACCATGATCCTCAGTACGTGCCAGCACCTGCGCTGGTCAAGTCCTCCTCAATTTCTGCAATGTCTCAGATAATACTGAAGTTAATCTCAAAATATCAAGGAATATGAGCTCCCTTCTGTCCTTTAGTGTTTTCCTGGGTACTCTATAAAGTTGTAAAGGTAATCTGAGCATCCCAGACAGTAATTCATTAAGAAAAAGTACAGAACCAGTGTAAAGGTCTTAGTATAAGGTTAAAAAAAAAAACAAGTTTAAAAGGTCTGTGCTAAAGTAAATGGCTGTGAGAAAACAAATCTGCAGCTCTCTTCCAGGAGAAGGGCCAAGCCTATGTGCTACAGTTGCTGCAAAATAAAGAAAAAATGGCATCGCTTCGCTTTGCCCTAGGCAAGAAGTGAGAGAAGAGCTCTACCGGTCTGAGAAGCTGTAAAGAAAGACACCGAGATGCTCTCTGCCTTGTGTTCTGCAGAACTGCTGTGCACCCACCCCTAACCACAGTGTGCCAGCACATGCAGCTCTGAGAGATGCCCTGTGGGCTTATTTCCTTCAGAGGAAAAAAGGGATCGGGAATCGCTGTGATTGTACCTGTTCCTGAAATCACCTGGCTACGTGTGTCACGTGTCAGATCTTTGGTAAAATAGGAAAACTGTAGGTTTCACCAGCTGCTGTTAACACCCTAGGTCAGTGTAAAGAAGCAGTGTTCCTTTGGAGAAGCAAGTCTTGTTCTAATTTGCTACTGACTCACACAAGTGATTAAAACTTTCCCCCAGTTACACGTGACTTCTCAGAGTTGTTTTCACGCTGCTGTTATGTGAAAGTGACCCCACCACGTGGCAACTCAGGCTACACCTTCAAGGAGCTGTCACCTTCTAGCAGGTCACCACACACATAAATCAACTATAGTGCATGTCTGCTAAGACAACAGCCTGCATGCCTGCAAACCTCTTCTGCAGTAGTAGAAACAGGGAGCAGGTCGGGAGCAGGTGGACCCTACTTCAACAGGAGCATGAAGCCCATTGCACAGAGCCACAGTGAGACCCTAGTGCTGAGCAGCTCTGACAGCAGCAATCATTTTGCCAGCCAAGGCTTCTGCAAAGCATTGTGGCTGCTGCTTTATTAGCAAGGATGGATGCAAAGCAACACTGTACACAGAAAACCCATCGTGCATCTTTAACACAATTATATATAGCACAGCAAGGCAGATGCAAAGATAGGAGAGAGAACAATTCACAGTGGGTATGGGATACAGTTACTAAGACAACAGGCTGACAGCTCTTGTAGCATGTGGAGGGGATCAGCGAGGGAGGAAGTTCTTAATAAACTCTTCTCCAGAGAAACACGAGGACTTCACCACCAAAGTGTGAATGAAGGACAGCTGCCCATCACATCATCCCTCTTCAGAACCTCTTGGTCCTCCTGGGACTGCCTTGGGTCACCCTTCTGCCACTGCATCTGACTTGTCGGGGCAGGAGCCTCAGTGGCACCTGCATGATTTCTACTTGATGTATGAACACAGACCCCTCCTTCTTCCTAAGCATTAAACCCAGCTGTCCCCTCCCTTCGCATGCTGTTTTTTGCTGACTTAACCGTTCTTCCATTCAGCTCAACACTTCTGAATTTGTTTCCACTTCTCCCAGCAGAGGCCTGCCACGCTCCAGCATTCCTTTCTACAGTTCCCCCAAGCCCCATGTTATCTCCACATCAGCACTTAATCCCCACATCCCTACTCCAAGAGATGTCAAGCTGCTACTACCTCCTTCACTTCTCAGCTTACCACTTTTTCTCCACCTCAAGCAGGCTAAGCACAACTCACTGCCCACTTGCTGTTTAGCTATGGCTTCTCTCCATGCAAACCGGTTTTGAAAAAGTCTGTATTCTCCATCTGCCTCTCCTCCCTGTTCTGCATAATTACACAGCACCATAGCTGCTGATAAAAAAAATAACTATTATTAAAACGCCACTTAAATAAGCACGGTAAGTAATGTGTCACCACAAATACACGAGCACGGTTACGAACATAACCATACACACGCAGTTACAAACCGCTTACGGTGCACCGTACACACGTGTATCCGTGTGCGTAACTCCGGGCACAGCCAACAGCCCACCTGCAATTCCCGCACCAAAGAAGAAGAGAATCGCGGAGGGAGGAAGGGAAGAGCCAGAAGGAAAGAGCCGAGGGGAGCGGCCGAGCCGAGGGCTCCCTCACAGTCACGGCGCCTCCGCCACAACGGACAGCCCGCCCCGCCGCCGGGACTCAACACCGCGGCCGCGCCACCCGCGGTGCCCCCGCCCCGGAGCGGCGGCGGCGGGGCCGAGCCGGGCGCGTCCCGGTGTCCTTGGCGCCGCCGAGCCCGCCCGCCCAAGTGCCGCGGCAGCCCGCCCCTCGCCCTCCCCGCGGGCGGGCCGTGCCGGGCCGTACCTGCCGGAGGGTGCGCACCGAACGGCCCAGCGCCCGGCCCAAGCAGCGCGACCGCCACAGCAGCAGCATCGCGGCGGTGGCGGGAGGAGCTGGAGGGCGGACACCGGAAGCAGGCCCGGCGAGAGCCGGAAGTGCGCAAGGCCGCACCAAGCGCTCCGGCGGGGGGGGGGGAGCGGGGCGTGGCGGGCGCCGGGGGGGGCTGCGGGGCGGGGGCAGGTAGTGCTGTCTCGCGGGCCGGCTGTGGAGCCGCTGCGTGGTCTGCCGCTGTCCGAGGCGGGCGGGCGCGTGCGTGTCCGGCTCTGAAGTGTGGCTGGGCTGCCGGGGCTGCTGTTCAGCTGGGTCTGCACGGGCACGGTTCCTGGCTGTTGGTGGAATCCGGGTGTGGCTTTCTGCAGGGAAGCAGTTCTGGCGGTCTTTCTGCTCACCTTGCTGCGTCCTGCTGTCAGGATCGCTTAGGACCGGAGCTGCTGCAAACGTCAGCTTGATTAGAAATGGGCAAGGTCACCTCACTGCTACAGGGAAATAAGTGTGGGGAAAAACAAAACAACAGACCACACATAGAAACAAGCAAACAAAAACAGGCAAAAGGATTTAAGTAGGCTTCATTGGAAAGGAATACAGCAGGTCACGGAGAGTCTAGTGTGACCTGATGTGATGCAATGAAGACAGGGCCAGGCTCTTTCAGTGGTGCCCAGTCCCACTCCTAAGACACGGTCCACGTTTTAAAAATGTCTGAGGGTGCCCCAGTTACCTTCTGCTTTCTGCCTACTTCCAGGCAAGAAATGGTTGTTGAAATAAAATGCGGAGAACTTACTGCAGTCTCTGAGAAGTAGACCAAGAAAATCAGAACTCTGTCTGGCAATCAGCATCCTGAAGGTTACATACACATCCTTAATATAGCTGTTGGTTAATAATACATCAGTGGTAAACTGCAACCTTCAAAATAGTCTCCTAAAATAAATTTGCAATGAACATTCTTGGTGAGATTTTCAAAAAAGATTGAAGAAAAATCAATAGGGTGTTGTCTCTGAGGCTTCAAAGATGTGCTGACTGCTTTAAAACAAAGCAGCTGTGCCAGAAAGGCTCTCTGCCAGGGGTTTCTCTGCAGTTTGTCTGTAAAGGGCTGAGACCCTTGAGCAGGACTGCCTGGTGTCAACTGCTTTTAACCACAGCCACCTGCCTACCAAATGAATAAAACAAGCATCACAGTATTTATTAAGTACGTGGAGGTGAGGTAGATGGCAACCTGGAAATGGCAGAGGCAATTTGGTTTTGTCTAGCTCCAGGAGTTCCATCTGCTTTTGCCTCCCACACCAAATGTCAAGCAGCTCCATCCTGGAGCAGAGTTTGGGTTGTGCTGGTGGTAGGAATATCTCTTGAGTTCCCGACAGTCAGCAAGGTACTGACTTTTGCTGAATGTCCCAAGTTGGAAGGGACCCACAAGGATCATTGAGTTCAACTTCTGTCTCCATATGGGACCACCCAAAATTCAAACCCTGTGCCTGAGAGCATTGTCTGAATGCTCTTTGAACTCCATCAGCTTGGAGCTGCAACCACTGCCCTGGGGAGCCTGTTCCATGTCCAGCCACCGCATCGTGAAAAGTCTTCCCAACTGTTTCCTGTATTGTGGACCCCTGGTATCACCATAGTAGGGAACATCAGAAGCACCTGCGCACCTTCAGCAGGAGCTGTGTTCACCTGAAGCTCCAGGCCATGGGTACCGCTTGCCTCTGGCTGTTGTACTTATGTCATCTCATTAATGATTAATTGTCTTGAGTCCTAGATGGGTGCTGTCAGATCAAATTGCAGCTTCCCAGCTCTCTCAAGGTTGTGCTAGTTGGTGGGGTGATCGTACAGTGTTGCATGGAGGATGCTGGATGGAGTTCTCTGCTCCAGGGATTGCCTCCTCATGGGCCTCAGCCTCTCAGCTGCCACAGCATGACTGAGCTGCAGAGCCTGACAGGCACTGCTTAGTGCTCTGCCATGATGGATATGGGGAACTGATGGTCTGCTCAGCCTAGTGCTGGTAATGTCTCAAAAGCTGATTATTTGACATTTTTGTCTGTCTGAGGTATTTTGCTCAAGGTTGAAGCTCTGCTTTAAGTTCCAGATGTCTTTCTTATCTCTGATAAACAACCTTCCTGAGATGGGATGTTTCTCTTCAAAGATTCAAGACTGTCATAAATTAGACCCACAGGGACAGCATCCTTGAGATGAGGACACAAGTCCAAAAGAGGAACCAATCAGAAGAGACTAAATGTCCTTGTGCCCAAATACGGATAAAGTGAGGAGTGGGATGCCTCCCCAAACAATCACTGACGACCCTTGCACAAGCACAGAAGATTCAAATATGTTATAGAACCTTATGCTTACATAAACCTATTAATGTGTAATGGATAGGTGTCATTTATGTATTAGGTAGGCATATGGTGAAAACTTTTGACTATAAATGGAAGCCAGCATAAAGAGCACTTGATTTGTGGGAATATTCCACTTTATGCCCTGCCCAGAATAAAGCGATGTCTCCTCTCCAAATGCTTGTTTTTTTGAATGTGTTTTGGGAGATACAGAATCAACAACGTTGTTATCATTTCTGTAAGCCTGGGGGACGCTGAGGCAGGTGGCCAGACCCCTGGACATCCATCTGCATATTCAGGAGTTGTTCCCAGCTGGTTGGCTGCCTCCAGCCACCCCACTCCCTCTTTATAGGACATGAGCATAGCGGGAGGACTTGCTGGGTGGCTTCTCCATCATCCTGCAGCACCCAGCACACATCCTGCACCTTGGCAGCCCAGGTGAGTGGGGCACAGAAAGGCACGCGGCTTGGGCTGGGGCTCCTCACTGGTGGCAGAAATGGCACGCCTTGGGAAAGCTGTGGGGTGACAGGCTGCCAGTGGGGTGACATGGTTCTCCCAGAAAGAAGTGGATGGGGAGCTCTGCGGTGTGGCTGATGTCTGGGGAGGACATACCTGCCGGCTTCTCTGGGCATCTTCATTTTCCTCCTTGTTTATTTTCTTCAGTTTGGAGGAGCATCTGTTTCTTTTTACTATTTTGGAAGACTGCACTGGTAAAGGCTGGTAGCAGCAGCAGGAATGGGAGCACCCAACTGCGAACTGCAGGGATAGGACCCTGTTAGTGGGAGCAATTTACTTGGGCCAGGACATAGGGCCAGTCTGGATACAGATTGATGCTGGAAAGCCCCTCACTTTTCTCCCGTCCTCCAGCTGAGGCTCCCTGTGTGGAACATCTGAAGAATGAATAAGATATATATGTACCTTGCATTTGCTGTGTAGCTTTACCATAGGCAGCTGCTACTCTGAGGAGCAGTGTGTGGCAGAGGGTGAAGCAAGCTGTGAATGGGGTGAGCAAGAGCTGCCGGCAGCTGGGCCTCGTGCTGACCTTGGGCAGAGCAAGTAGCCACACTGCTGGGGAAAGGGAAACCTCATGGCTGGGCGGGAGGGGAGGCTACACAGAGAACAAGTGCTGTCAGGCAGCCTGGGAAATGGTTTATTACAGATAGAGCAGCAGTAGAGGATCCAGAAAGGTGTGACAGAGGAGGGAGAGGGAAAATGGTCTAGCAAAATGGTGGGGCAGTGCAATTTACAGGGAAGACAAGCCCGAGGACCTGCACTGGAGTGATGTGCCGGGGTGTGTGATTGCTCTCCCGGACACCAACCTGGAATAAAGGCTAACAAGCGGCCTGCTGAAAAGAGTGAGTAGAGGCTTTTTTTTAAACACCACTCAGTAACATGGCGGAGGACTTGCTGTAAGAGAAAAGTCATGGGGACGGGAGATTAACAGCACTGAAAATGATCAGATGTATCTGGATATAGGTGAAAGAATCTCAGGCCCTTTAAAGATGGCTCAAAAAGGCATAAACCACTTCAGACATGCAGAGCTGATGCTAATTAATGTGGTTGGTGAGGCAGCACCCCATAGGGATTTTTACTCTTTAGCGGACCAGGACATGAGCTTTTGCTATTCCTGTTTTAAAGGTGTCAGAACTAGCAAGAGGAGGGGTGGCTGGCTGCCTGCACTCACTGTGACAATTTTAAGCCTGAGGCTGCTGGCTCAGGAATTCTTCTCTTCCCCAGTAATCCCCATCCCTTTTATTCTGTTTTGACAAGCCCTCAGCAGCACTGTCCCAGCATGTCCTGCTAGTAGCGGTCACACTGTGCTTTTTCTGCTTCTAGCCCCTTGCTGTGCCTCTTCCAACCACCCCAGCATTGGGGGATGGCAGATGCTGCTCGTCCTCATGCCCTCAGGGCTCCCTCTGCTCCATGCTGTGAATGCCTTCTGTAGAGCTCTGGCTGCTGTCCTTATTTCCGGGCACCCTGACAGTGCTCAGTGGCAGCTGCAAACGCCTTTGCCTAGGTGCACGTGGAGGAAGGCTCTATCTGGTGCTCAGTGCCCTTGTACCACAGTCCACGAGCTCAAAGGGGACTCTTGCCAAAGGTGATCTCCCTTTCTACTTATCGCTCTGAGCCTGTGCCCCACACACCTGAGGCTCCTGTTACCTGTGGGAGGGGGGGAGAAGTTGTGGTCAAGGCACAGTGAGATGGATCTTCAACCGTTCCAGGGCAAAGCTGTGGTGCAGAGAGCCCTCACTGCTTGGCACATTCAAGGCCCAAACCATTAGAAGTGGGCTCTAGGCACCACAAATGCCTGCTGTCAGGTGGGAGCTGGGAAAATCTGTCATGTGAGCATGCATGGAGGGTAGCTGTGTTTGGTTCTACCAGTGATACTTTACTCTTTCTTCAGCTCTGTACCTCTAGCTGGCAGAAGCATCGCCAGGAACGCCTGCCAGTCTGTCTGTGGAAATGATCCCCTACCAGTTGCAGGGTAGCTCACTGGTGCCCAGGCAGAAAGAGGACATGAGGAATGGCAAGTCTGCCCCTGTGCAGGACAGAGGCTGTGTTACTACAAAGCACCACCAAGGGATGAAAACAGAACCTTGTTTCCAGAGGGACCCTCTGTTGCCTTCCCCTAGCTCATCCCTCATGTCACAGCTGCTCAGCCACACAGCAGTTGGCAGGAGCCTGGACCCCTGCACCCTTTTCCCTTCCTCTGCAGTGGAGCCGCCCCAGGGCTATGAACTTGGTGTGCCTTTCAGAGAAGCAGCACAAACCCTGGCTATCACCAGAACCTGTGGCCCTGCTCCTGTGCCCTGTGCAGCTGATGGGGAGCAGCTCTCCGATGAATACCTACAAGCCAAGAGGGCTAGGGTGGAGAGCATCATCCAAGGCATGAGCCTCCTTCCAGCCCACCAGGGCTTGGAGGGAGGTTTGGCGCTGGGCAGGGAGAGAGGTGGGGGAGTGCCCCACCAGGGCAAGAGGAAGCCGAGGGTACCTCAGCAGCAGGGTGCGGGAGTGGCTGGGCAAGGGGCACCTGCCGCTGGCAGTCCCCACACAGCAGAGTGCCAGCAGCTGAGGGAGCAGCTCTGCTTTCTAGAGCAGCAGCTGAGGTGGCTTCAGGAGAGGTTCTCCCAGGTCTGTGACTCTGGGGATGCTGCCCAAACCCAGGAAGGTGCTGGGAAAGTGCAGCTGCTTCCTGGAAAAGCTGGAGACAGAGTGGGCAGGGATGGTGTTGCCAACACCTGCCATTCACACACAGCCACTCTCTGGGAGAGCATCCTGGAGGTGGATGGGCCCACGGCAGGGGAGGATGAGGAAGGCAGAGGCAGTGCAGGCGTCCTGCCCTCAGTAGCCAGGGTACTCTCTCAGGCCCTGAAACACGAGCTGGCTGGGATGACATCCCGTGTGGTGGACTCCGTCTTGAAGACCATGTGGCCAAAGGCAGCCAGCCACCTCCTACAGCAACGGCTAGAGCTAGGGCCAGATGCCAGGGGAGGGTGTTTACCTGCTGGGAAAGGCAGAAAATCACTTGCTAAGGCACCCTCCCCGAGCATCCTGGGCTCACATCGGCCAGAGGCACCATCACTATCACTGGGGAAGAACTCTCAGGCCAGATCCTTCAGCCCGGAAGGGGTCAGAAACCTCCGTCAGGCACCCAGTGTGGGTCACAGGCCAGGCTCAGCTGCCCTGGCAGTGCAGGACAGTCAGCTGCTGGGCCAGCTGCTGGTCCACACCCCACACAACCACTGGGACAGCCCTACTGCCTCAGAGAGTTGGCGCATGGAGCCCGCAGATGCACGCTGGGCAGTCACCAAGCTGCGGCCATTGGCAGTGAGGCCCCTGGGCCCTGACATGGTGGAGGGGAACAGAACACCCCTTACCCCTACCCACGTATCCTTTGGGGTAGATGGAGTGGCCTGGCTCCTCAGAGATGCCGATGGGAAAAGCCAACTTTCTGCTACTGAGTGGTCAAACACTGGAACAACCTTCCTAGAAAAAGGTGACTGATGACCCACACCTGTCAGCTTCCAAGGGACATTTGGATAACGTTCTCGCTAATTTGCTTTAACTGTACGGGCACAGGTTTCCCAGAGGCTGTGGAATCTCCTCCTTGGAGATCTCCAAAAGCCACCTGGATGTGGGCCTGGGCACCCTGCTCCAGGCGTCCCTGCTCAAGCAGGACCCAGAGGACCCTCCTTGGCCATCCTGTGACACCAGGCTGTAGGGATGGGCTATGACAGACCAAAGCTGCCATGTGCAGGTTTTCCTTGACTCAAAGCCCACATCTAGGAGGCGCTGACCCCTGGCCACCTAAAGAAGGCCAAGCTGATGTTCTTCTTCACCCGCTACCCCAGCTCAGCTCTGCTGAGGTCCTACTTCCTTGATGTGCAGGTAGACCTGCTGTGGGATGCAGGGTAGGATCGCGGGGTGTGGGATTTTGGTGCTGGTTTGTTGAGAGCCCACTTCCCCCGCTGTGTCTGCACAGTTCAGCCGCTGCATCAACTCCCAGCTCATCAAGTGGTTCAGCAACTTCCGTGAGTTCTACTACATCCAGGTGGAGAAGTTTGCCCGGCAGGCCCTGCTGGAGGGCATCACGGAGGCCACGGCCCTGCGTGTCTCACGGGATTCGGAGCTCTTCCGTGCCCTCAACATGCACTATAATAAGGGAAACGACTTCCAGGTGAGGGGCCGGGGTGTGGGGCACAGGGCCCACTTCCTGGAGCCCACCTGCTCATCTGTCCGCAGGTGCCCAGCTGCTTCCTGGAGGTGGCAAGCCTGACGCTGCAGGAGTTCTTCAGAGCGGTGCGGGCGGGCAGGGATGCCGACCCCTCCTGGAAAAAGCCTATTTACAAAATCATCTCCAAACTGGACAGCCACATCCCCGAAGTGTTCAAAGCTGCGGGCTGCTCCCAGGAGCTGCCCCACAATTGATCTGCCAGGCAAGGGGCCCCAGAAGGTTTTGGGTAACTGCTGGCAGGGTGGGGGAAAGGCTGGCTGTGCTGGACAAATCCTGGACTTACGGCATCCGTCATTCTGTTTTATTTCTGTCCTGTCAGACAGCCTCCTTGGGTGAAGTCTACGGTTTGCTCCAGGCATCAGGATGTTGTGCTATACATTTCATTTGGCTGCTCAAAGGCAGCGGTGGAGACCCATGGAAAGAACACGGAGAGGAAGCCAAATGCTTGGAGCCTGGAAATGGCTGCTCTCCTCCTGGCCCTGCTCCAGCTTTCCCCAGGACCTGGGCCAAGCCACCTTTCTCCTCATTTCCACAGGGCCACAGATAAGGGCAAGTGGCCCTTTTTGTTTACAGAGCAAGCAGAGCTCCCAGCAGCGGGCACCGTTTCCTTGGCACGGCTGTCCAAGGCGCTGTGCTTGCTCCAGCAGCACTCGTCAGGCCCTGCCCAAAAACAACACAACAGCATCCAAAGCAAACATCTGGTGAATTCCAGCATTTCAAGCAGCCCATGAGGATGGCTGGCCCTGTCTGGGACACATCAAACTGTTTGTATCCGCCAGCACACCGCCTCACCAGTGTCCTGCAGAGGAGCTGAAGCTGGACAGTGTGACTTGTGTTGGAAGGGGTCAAGGCAGTGCTGGAAGCGCTGCGGGATGCCTGCTGGATGCTGGAGCACGGCAAAATGCACGGAGAGGAAAATCGATGCTGCACAAGCAGTCCTGCAGCAGGGTGCCTGTAGCTGGATGGCAACACCTTGTGGCTGAGCAGTGCAGTGTGGGTGGGCTCCACAGGGGCTGTATTACAGTGGCCCTTGCCATTGTGAGTGGGGTTAGCCACATTCCCTGTCTGGATTTGTATGTTAGTTGCTTGAGGTCTGTATGTTGTGCAAACCCAACTCCAAATTTACTCCATCTATTTTTAAATAAATACGGCTTATGTTACCACTTTAAATCCCCAGAGACCTCTCTGATAACTTTTTCTCTAAACTTTACCCTGGGAATTTCTTGCATTTTGTTAGGAAAGAATAACCCCTTGAGAGAAGGGCTTCAGTGGCTGTGCTGTTGATGGCATGGTACGTACTTTCATGCAGCCTGGTTGTGCTCAGAACAGAGCAGGCGGTTTTCTCTTGAAGACAAATGCCTGGCACGTGGGGATTTCCATTGGCTATGTGTGCATGCTTGTAGGGCTGGGAGAGAGGGAAGAGACTGCACCCACCACCATGGCAACAGTGACTTCCCATGTGTGAGTGTGCTGTAAGAGTTGCTTTTCCATTTTCCACTAATTATTCAATAAAACAAGAGGGGTAGCACACTCACATCCTGCTGACTCAGTTTTACCTTTGAAGCAAAATCAGCTATTTCTCTGTATCCAAACATCTGTGATACATGCATAACATCCCCATTACCACCACTAGCCATCTGCTCTGGGAACAGTCCTGCATTTCCAATTGCATTCCCAGTCCCTCCACAGCACCGCTCGCAGTCCACACAGCTAATGACAGCAGATACTGCTGAGCTCTAAATACTGCTGTTTCCCTGCCTCCAGGCTAAGTGGCAGGAGGCAGCCGAGAGAGGGAGATGTAACCACATCCATGCCCTTAGAGCCCTTAACACTTACTCACGCCCATTATTATGAACTGTAAGAGCTCTCATTACTCACATAGAGCTAATTGGAGCTTGAGGAAGTCCTTGCTGAATGCTGAGCGTGGGTGCCACAGCAGCCTGGGGGGGGGGTGGAGGGGGGGAATTAACAAGCAATTAAAGACCTTGCCTTATCTTTACTGCTGCTAATGGCCTTGGTCTGTCTGCAGAGCCTGAACCAGACCCTGAGGTTCCCAGCTGAAGCAGAAGTTCTTGGAAAGGACCTTCCCATAGATAACATCCTGGATACAACAGCTTTCTCCATGCTAAGTGGTGGCCAATGGTCATGAAATCTCAGCATTTGCTGTCCCATTATGTGTGCTCTTGCTTAAGAGTTCAGGGGGTAACTTTCATTTTACATATTAGTGTCAAACACCATTCCTGGTTTTGCTGTTCCAATAAAACCTGCCCTACAAACACTCTCTGGGACTACTGCCCATTGCCTACCAAACAACTGTAACCACACAGCAGTAAATCCAACTGGCACAAGCCAAACGTGGCAGCCCCCTGCTGGTGTTTATTGCTCAGGCTTTTGTGGCTTCCGCGCTTGTTCTATTGGATTAACGAGGATCAGGCTTCAAAGCGTCAGCCTGTAATGAACAGGGTCAATCTTTTTTAATCTTACCAAACGAGAAGCTAAAGGCAGTGGTGAAGTGGAAGGCTTGAAGAGTATGAAAAATACATGACTGAGGAAAAAAAAAAGGAAACTTGAAGAAAAGTATTTTACTGAATTACTCAATGCATGTCATACGTCATTCATAGCTTTATGCAAAGTACAGATATCATTAAAAATACTTTGTATGACTTTACAAAACTGGCTAAGTTAGATCTATGACAACATAAATGCATCTGCACATACCTATATCCCTCTCTTTCTATAAAACCAGCCCTCACCAGCCTCAGAGGGAAGGCAGCATACTCCACAGCCTAAGACACCTTTCTCCCTTTCTAGCCACCCAGTCTGTAAATAAGAAAAAGGGAAGAAATGAGGACCACCTTTGGAAAACAAGGTTTGAAGACAAGGTGAGCTCGTGGTCAGGGGAGACATGAGGCCAGCCCCACGTGTCCACACATCCACTAGCATCCCCATGGCTGGCAGTGCAATCTGTGTTCAAATTAAAATTCCAAAGGCTCTTTTTAATCAAATAAATAAACAAAATCTTTAGGAACAGTAGCTACAGTCACAAAGAGATGATGCTTTAGAAACTGTAATTTTAAAGCCACAGCACCCTCTTCTTGTGAGCAACCACTGCAAGTACTGAAACGTTCATGTTGAGAAGTGTCATGGGCTACAGTTGTTGCCTCAGCAGCACAGCTGATCTCCTCAGCTTTGGCAGCCCACGGCCTCAGAGAGACTCTTCAGTGTGTTGTGATTCTTTTGTTGAAGGCTGGGCCCTAGCACAGCACTGTGAAGCTCGCTCTGAGCTCTGGGTGCTTTTCACTTTTTGCACCTCAAACTTTGGGTAGAAGGCAGGTGCCCCAGCAGAACCACTAGAAAGTGCCCTTTGTACACCAGGGGCTGGCCAACAACAGAGCCACCTGAATGGCACAAACTGCTGCTGAAACTGAGAGCAGACAGCTCTGATGTGAGCAGGACCTAGCACTGGGCAGCTGGAAACACCATATTGGCGAGTAGCTGTCCAAGGCTCTTGCCTTTCTGAGCCAGAGTGGGGATGTTTGATTGGTGATGAACGTTCCGTTTCAGGAACATCATGGCGTTTTCATTATTAATTGAAAGTAAAGGAGTGACAGCAGTGTACTCACCCACAGGGCAGCACTTAACTGGAGATCTGTGTTATATGTGCGAGCACCTTCTGTCCTGCAATGTAATTAGGATTCTGGCAGCAGTGCTTTCTGTGCTTGAATTAGGATCCCAATTGGGAAACCAAATCCTTGAAGACGGTGGGTTTACTTAGGAAGATGCTGCATTTCAAGTTCTGGAAGGAATCACCTCACTCCAGGATGTAATTCTCTTTGAAGTATTTCTAAGCAGCTACAAGGAAGACTGTCAAGAATCACAGGCCAACACAGATGTGGGACTATCCCAAACACAATTCTCAAGATCTGTTTCTTAACAAATGTTGAACACGAAGGCCTCAGTCAGCAGCCTGCCTCTTACCATCACGAGGTCTTCCTTCTCCAGAACAACTGCATGCCCTGTTGCATTAGTCACAGTCACCCACCAGGCTCAAGAGCTGTCCATCTGAGCCCTCTGCAGTTGTGGTTGCCTGGAAGCCAATGGCAGCAGCAGTCTTCACAGAGCAGCTCCTCTCTTTGCAAACGATGCTGGAGCCAGCGTGGAAAGCGTTCTGTGTGAGCACGGCACCAACATCCCCTGAGAACAGCATGTAATGTCCCAGAAGCATGTTTTGAGTATTCACTGGCCCTTACACAGTCCCCATGACACGCTGGGTTTTGATAGTTGAACAGTTTGCAAAACTCAGTTCACATTTCTCAGATCTTTTCTCAGTAAGTCTTCTGGTGCCGGCTCAATTGCCTCTACTCAGCACATTACTGAGTGGTCATGTCTTTGAAAGCATTAAGTGGCTTCTTCCACTGCAAAAAGACCACAGAGTTAAGAGCCCCACACACAAAACACAACGCACATTGAAGGTTAAAGCTGAGAAAGGATTTTTGGACATAAAAAAATAGCATCAGTTAAGAGAGCTGGGGAGAGGAAGGTGGGGAAGATACATAAATGTAAGTGCTGTAGGAGTAACTCTGATATCATATAGGTGTAAAACAAATCCAAAGTAATGGAGTTGCGACAAGGCAAATACGGTATTACTAAAAATCAGGTCCCACATACAGAAGACCTGCATACAAAAGTCCTAAATCCTGGTACAAATAAAGGAGTACTGAGAGTAACAGGGAGAAAGGCTTTGTGCAGAAATCTCTTCAAAATCTGTTTTCCCTATGAAGGATTTAAACAGGACTGTAGCGTTTAGAAAATTCCCTGCCACAACAATGCAACTCTGTGCCTCTAAGACGTAGTGCACAAATAAACAGTACCAAACATTACGACCACAGCACAGCTTCACGTATGCAGGACGATGCAGTACGCCCCAGCCAACTGCTATGCTTCCCTCCAGCATCACCAGAAGTAGCATTTTTAATACTATTTTCAAAATCTTTGTCTTTTTTCACACAGACAGAAAAAAAAAACCAATCTGACACAGAATGCTGAATTCCAGCTCTTAATTTTTCATGTTTCGCTGCCCTTCTGTAATTTCCAGAATTCCCTACAACACTGGCTGCTCTTTGTTTTGCTGTTATCTCACACCAACTTTGCCAGGGAAGATGCTGACTATGTGCCTATTTGTACAATATTTTAA